CGCGGCGGGCCTTGGTGGGTGGGCGAGCCCCCGGTGGGTAGCCAAGGCCCTGGTGGGTAGCCGGGCTGCACCTGCGCAGGCAGAGCCACTCCCTCACAGGAGCACAGCCCGCCCACACAGAACCAGCCCGGGAAGGCAGCCAGCCTTCCCGAGAGACAGCCGTGCGGTTCCGAGCAGCCCGATCTTTCCACCCGGAAACGAACGTGCCATCACACCTGCCGGGGTATGGCGCTCAGTGAGGGCTGCCGAAGACAGTGGATGGAACAGCTCCAACTCATTCCCAGCCCTGTCCTTTCCTCCTCTGGAAGTCGGCGTCTGGACTGTCTAAGCGGCGCCCGGGCTGGGGCCCTCCAGCCAAGGACAGTTCACTTCAGACACCCGCAGGCCCGAGGGGCTGCCACGTGACCGCGTCACAGCTGTCCAGCCAGAAATGCGCTATATCTGTCACGGACACCAAGACCCTGGGAGTGGCTTCCAAGAAGAAAGTGCAACAAGCACCACGCGGCGCTCTTCACAGAAAGCCATTCGGAAAGTCGGCTTCTCCTTGGTTCTGAAGACCCCCACAGACCTGAACGCAGCGCTGCTCACCCTCACGAGGGCGCGTGCACGCGCGTGCGCGCACACACACGCAAGGAAAGCTGTCCTGGCGCAGACGCGCACGCGGCTCCCCTGAGTACTGCAGTCACGCGCACTCCCTCCGAGACGTGTTCTACTGCCAGAGAGAGGTACGCGAGTTGGAGTACTCAGAAGCTGTGCTCGTCACTCTACTGCGAGCCTCAGTCCTGCTCTCCCCTCCAATGCAGGGTGGGCAGTCCTCCCACCTGCCCTTCCCTAGACCCTAACCAGACTGGAGGACGCACGGTTCTCAAGTCACACGTCTCCATCCTGGTCCTCTCCAACGAGGCCCGCCAACAACGAGCCTTCCTCCACTAACTCCAACTATGTGCGTATATAAAACAAAAAGCTAGCATTTGCTATTTTCATGTGCTTTCACCGTTTCTTCAACTAGTTAAAGGAAGAACTGCTCAGGTACTGAAACCAGCAACACTCACTTGGCCTGTCTGTCCCCTTCATGACTAGACACAGGACTCTGCTTTCAAAAAATACCTTCAGGGGGACCAGCAGTTAGCGTAATGGCTATGTCATTGAACTCCCACATAGTCGAACGCAGTTCGCGTCCCAGACCCGGTGGCTTAAACTCATGCTGGGCGCGTGTGCGTGCGTGCCCAAGATCCCGAGAGGAGAATGGAGGAGTGGGGATTGCAGCGTGACCACCCCCTCTGGGGGGTGATTTCTCACTGTCTATCTCTCTGTCTCTCTCTGTCTGTCTGGCAAGCACACGCGCCCTA